GCAGAGCTAGTAACTTTGGCTTACGCTTCAAGCGGAACTTAAGTAACTTGTAAAAACTACTCTTGCAGCCTGATGATACTATTCGTTTCTCAATAGACGCATTATATTTACGTAGTTTGGACTCAAAAGACTTATTAATGCTTTTGAAGGTTTCCCAATCCTCTATGGTATCAGAAAGTTTCGCTCTCTTCCAAACATGTTCCCTCTTGTGCATCAACTTCTGTAGGTATTGTGGTAGGAACGACTCCCTTGAGTTCTTCGCACTAGCCGGCACGAAAAGATCAATGGCATGATGGAGAATTGCTAGGAATAGCTCATACTTAGAATCTACCGACTGAACGCTATTCAAAGACCCATACCAATCAACACCTTCGAGGTATGACAAAATGCTCCTGTAGTTTGCTAATGCGAAATTGCGTCTGATTACTGTAGATCGGGTCGGTGCGCACACATTTACTTTGAAATGCAGTGAGTAGTGATCGCTAAAGCCTAGCGGGGACTTCACTTCAACGTCAGAGATTAAGCTCACATCGTTCGACATGACGAGGTCAAGTAGGTGTCCACCCCTAGTACAGTCACGAACCAGCTGAGCAAGACCATAATTTTGACAAAATGTCCTGAAATTGAGGGCACTGGAACTACCAGTTATTTTCGGCGAACTATCCCACTGTAACTCGGGGAAATTAAAATCTCCTGTCACAACACAGGACGAATTGCAAGATATAACATCACTAATAGCTTTGAGCATTTGATCAGTCAAGGCAACTGTGCAACTGGGGGTTCGATAAACTAGTACAAATCGTGTCAAGCTGAGACCAGTGCGTACATCACAACAGAGAATTTCATAACCCCTTGGTGCGGACTCACTGAATAGGACCACGGGGGCGAGAGAGTTGCGAACCAACATAGCAACACCACCTCCCCTTGCAGAATCTCGGTCGCATCTGATCACTGTATAATTGGAACAAGCATCGCTCAACAGTGGGGGCAAGTCAGCCGCCGGATTTAGCCAGGTCTCAGTTAGAGCAATAATGTCAATGCCACTTTTAATGAGTAGAGTCAAAGCATCCGAAATTCCTCATAATAGATCTTATATTGGCCACAACACAAAGTATAGATGACTCAGTTTTCCATAAAGGCCTTATGGGTTTCCCATGTTTTCCACAACACTGAGTGAAGAAGAATCAGAAATCGGACCTGGAGCTTGACTGAGAACAGTACTATTACCAACAGTAGAAGAAGGCTCAGCTTCTCCGTTATTAACACAAACAGAAGGTGAAACATGAGTCGCTACACGAGTAAGCCTTTGAACTCTCAAAAGATCACGTTCTGATTTAGACAGAGAAGGTCTTATAAAATTCCCTTCTCTCGAAAATATTTGAGCTGAGGGGCACGTTTAACCAACAACGAAGCAAAGAAGGACGAGGGGAAAACAACTTTCAAGAGTCTTGCTTTATTGGGCACAAAGCGTCCCATGCGGTAGATTGAAATTGGACGACAATCGACAGATAGGTAATCAAGAATTTGCCTGACGCAAGAGGAGTCATACAGAACTCGATCAGAAGAAAGTGCGGCAGAAGATTCCTTAACTCCTATGATAACAACTGAGCGCCTACGCTCCACTTCCTCAAAATTGTTTACCAACGTACTAGGCTGAGAAGAAACTTGAGACTGATTGAAATTTTCATGAGAAGACAAAGCCTTTTTCAAAACAATTATCTGAGAATTGAGGCTGTTTACTTCACTTATCAACTCACTATTTTTTCGGCGGACACTCTCATTTTCCTCTTGGAGTTCCTTATTTCTAGCTAGGACATATCCAATCTGATCCTTTAAATCGACTAAGAAATTCATAACCGTCTTCAAATGGGGCGGCAATGAGGCGTCATTGACAACAAGGTTGATCGCGCGATCAAAATCCATGTCCGCAGTGGGGCTAGATAGGATCTATCCTATGTTTTTTTCCTCGTCGTCCCTGAATTGGAGTCGGGGCAAGCGGTGTATCCATTACAAGCAATCAGAAAAAAAAACGTCTGGAACCAAT